CCCATAACATCATTAGCGACAAGTAATGCGTAGTAAAGATTACGTATACGTTCATTTTTTCTTTTTAATCTAGAAACATTGCTGCAATTCAAAACTTTAAGAGGAAGATTGAAAATTCAAATTCAAACTCTTTGCAGAGAATTTAGTCGATCCCATAAACTAGAATACTAACCATTACTAGCAATTTGAAGTCACCTGCGTTCTCTGGTGTGTTGGTATACCGTTTCTTCTTCAGCATATTTATAATGAGAAGAATGTCAATTTAAACGATCAATTTTAATAATGAGAAACATGTGCAATCTTTTCTATCAATCTAATCATTATGCTAGTAACATCTATATTTAAATTAGGAGTCTGACCTAATCAAACACCCATCAATGTCTTAACATCCTGTGGTTTACTATATATATATTATAATATACGTAGATAAATTTACACACCAAAAATGTCAATTACCACAATCCACTTATGACAACATCTTACTACAATAATTTAAAAAAAAACTTCTTTTCTGAATGTATATAATGTTGGTTTCTACTAGATTTAATTTAATTAACTTAATTGTGAGATAGTAAGATTGAAGAAGAAAAGCATTTCAGTAGAACTAGCACAGTAGTTGACAATTCTAAGCTAGATATTACGAGTTTGACTAATTTTTAAAATGTTTAGACATAACTGTACACAGTAAAAGTAACAATTAGGTTTCATGCCATTTAGTCCACTTTGATGTGAAAAATCTCAATTTAATCCCATCTTGAAAGAGTGTTTTGAAGTAGTCCTAACTTTTAACATATGGGCAATTATTGGTCCTTTCTGGTAAGATAAGTTAACAAAATTAATGATCTGATGTTGTTGCCCACAGTTTTGTAACTTAGAAGCTACCGAGGGACCAATCTACACATCACAGCTTTAAGCTTTCACATCATCATCCATTAATATTCGTTCACTTATATTTACCGAAAGGGATCATCTACCACTATTTTAAAAGTTAGGACTACTGTAAAACACTTTTATAACAGGGACATAAATTGAGATTTTCAACCACAGTGGGGACTAATTGCTATTAAACCACAAATGTTAGAGAAGGATAATTGTGATACTTTTATAGCGGACAAAATAAGAAAACTAAAACAATTTAAGTTTTGGCAGATATCATTTCTCGTTCCAAGTCTCCGATTACCGAACGGGGCGGCCGGAACCAGCAATTTAGCCACGAACCTATATAACAAAAGGCCAAAATCATTCACATTCATATATCTTTCCTTCATACCGACAGCCCACACAAACCACTTTTTCTTTGCTTTAATGTTTCATTTTCGAACGTATTCTGATCGTTTCTCTGTCACTCTCGCTGAGGTTTTCGGTGGAATCCACACAATCACACAACTACGAGTATCTCTCTCATCAGTCTATTCTTATTTTCAGGAATGTACCAGGAACCAAACTGTTTGTCTCAAAATTTTTATGTGTCTGATTGTGTTTAGGGGGATTTAGGAGGCCAAAGTCTTAACTTCTGCTGATTTTGTTGATCCTTTACGGTAACTTCATAAAATGTGTTTTTTCTTTAAATCACTGATATACCCTTTCTAACTACTGTGTTATTTCAGAACCAGTTTATTTTCTCAAGATCGGCCTAAACCAGATAAAAAAAGCAGTTTTGTAGGATTTCATTTTGTACTCATTCTGCAACATATTATTATAAGAGAAAATTAGATTTTATTATTCTGCAGCTACCGAATCCCACTAAATCAGTACTAAGTAAACCTGCTATCTTTCTTTTTCTTTTTCTTCAACCACTGTTACCATCTTCTTTAATCATACGCAGTACAACTCTCTTTTGTTGTTACATGTTAGCACAGTTTAAGAAGGTATGTTTATCTGTCAATTTTAGTTTTACATATATTCTTTCGAACAGAACTGGTAGTGGGTTTGGTGTTTCTTGGCGTGCTTCATGCAATTTGTGTGGTAAGTTTGCTTCTGTCTTAAAAAATTTAAATTAATCTCTTAATTTTTTAGGCTGTTAGCGATTTAGTAATACTAGTAATTAGAAGTTGAAATTGTAACTACTCGTGTTTAGGAGAATAAAATCTTTGTAGGGGTGGTTTTGCCTGGCAACCATTCTGGGTTTAACCCATGGTATGATATGATTTAATCAACTATCGCATCTTGGCTGTTCCCCGTCTTTGGTCAAGCTATTTAATTCTATACGGAAAAGGTGTTTTCAATGTTTGGGTTGAAGATACTTAAACAAGTAATCTAACCTACACTCTTTCATATGTTTTCAATTTCTTTTTTTTTTCTTTAATAAAGTTTTTTACCTTTGCCTACATATTCAGACCTTCGTTTTGTCTCATCTTGCCAATTGAATAAAATAAATCAAAATTTTGAATATCAGTGATCTAGCATTTTTTTGAAAGTTTGCTTGCTACCTGTTTAAATTTACTGGCATAATTTTAATTAGTATTATTATTATTATTATTATTGATTTTAGTGAATTGACCTGCAAACTTGTCAAGCCAATGCACTCGATGCATTTTGTTTTTATCCTTGAAGAGAGTGGACTTGTCAATCAATCACCAATGTTCATTTTTTATGCCTTAGTCATCTTCGTTTGAGTTTATGCAGATAACATGTAATGCTCTTGGTCTTTGGCCAACCTTCTTTTATTTTTCTGTATTTTTTTTTCTCTTTCACATGAATGTCTATCTCCTGCATTCCTCAACCTCACTTTTTCTGCATTTCTCATTTTTTCAACCTAACTCGTGCGTGATAGTAGAAATTGGGTGGTTCGTTAATGACCCGATAGCGGGTGGAATAGAAGAATAGAATGCCCACTTAGAACTCGCTAGGATAGGCTCTAACCATGGCTCTGATACCATATTAGAAGGTGAGTTTTTAAGCCTAACTCAACCCCACGAAACCGGCTTGTAGGGTGAGGTTTACATCTCACTTATATATTATAATTTGGCCTTATCTCTAGTCGACGTGGGACTTCCAACAAAAGCACTTTATTGGTGAGGAGATAGCAGAATATATATATTAATTGAATTTAGAGTAAATTAATTTTTACTTTATAATCTTTCGGCTTTAATTCTTCACCTTTGTTTAACAAGTCTGGTTTATTGATTACATGAAGTATGAAGTTTATTTCTTTTCTATTTTCACGTTCCAAGCTAACATTCACTCTGCAATCACCCATTTTTCTTTTGTAGCAGGAAATTTTGTCCATTGCAAAACCTTGGTTACCTTAAGATCATATAAGGAATACTCCACACATTCTCCATTTTTAATCAAGAAAAATCAGAAATGTTTCCTGAAACAGTAGCTATTCCTGCAATACTCCTTGTGGTATTCATATTTGTGGTATCATTTGCTGTGTTGAAAGCAAAACAAGGCCAAGATAATGAAAAACATCCACCTGGTCCCAAGCCCCTGCCAATTATTGGTCATCTCCACATGCTAGGGAAATTACCACACCGCACCCTTCAATCCCTTGCAGCAGAATATGGACCTATAATGTCCTTAAAGCTAGGACAGGTTCCAACCATTGTGATATCTTCACCAGAAATAGCTGAACTATTCCTCAAGACTCATGACATTACTTTTGCTTCCAGGCCTAAAAGCATCTCATCCCACTATATTTCCTATGGTGGTAAAGGCTTAGTTTTTTCTGAGTATGGCCCCTACTGGCGCAACATGAGGAAACTCTGCACAGTACAACTTCTGATTGCATCAAAAGTTGAGATGTTTTCTCCTTTGAGAAGTGAGCTGTTGGCAGAGTTTGTCTGCTTTCTGCAGAAGACAGCATCATCACATGAGGTTACGGATGTCAGTGATACTGTAGGGGATCTCATTGAGAATCTCACCTTTAAAATGATCTTTGGTCGCAGTAAGGACGATAGATTCGATGTAAAGAACCTTGTTCGTGAAGTACTGAACTTGGCAGGAACTTTCAATGTTGCAGATTATTTGCCTTGGCTACGCATGTTTGATCTTCAGGTATGAAATGCTGCTGCATGTTTTGTTAATGATCTTTCACAGTATAGATTTTATTGTGATTTTGTTGGTTTGATGGTTGAGTTATCATCTATGAATATCGAAAAACATTGGTTGAAAGAGATTAATCCCTTAAGTAGTGTCTTAAACAAGATTATCTTTGAAGGACAGAATCTGTGCTGAACAAAAAATCATTCTAACAATATTTGATTTAATTTTCTGATGTGACTTTCAGGGGCTGGTAAAACGATTAAAGAAAGTGTGTAAATCATTTGACGTAGTAATGGAGCAGATTATCAAAGACCACGAACAGGATTCTGATAAAGAACAAAAGGGCCAAAAGGATTTTGTGGACATATTACTTGCACTTCTGCATCAACCCCTGGATCCTCAGGATGAACATGGTCCTGTGATTGAAAGAACACATATCAAGGCTATTGTGATGACTATGATTATTGCAGGAGTTGACACATCTGCCACAACGGTTGAGTGGGCCATGTCAGAACTCTTAAAGCATCCAAGGGTGATGAATAAACTTCAAGCTGAGTTGGAAAGTGTGGTGGGGATGAATAGAAAAGTGGAGGAAACTGATATTGTAAAGTTGACTTATTTGGACTTAGTTGTGAATGAGACACTAAGGTTGTACCCTGTTGCACCTTTGCTGGTACCTCGTGAGTGTAGAGAAGATGTTACTATAGATGGTTACTGCATAAAGAAAAAGACAAGGGTGATAGTGAATGCATGGGCTTTGGGGAGAGATTCTAAAGTTTGGTCAGATAATGCTGAGGAGTTTTGTCCCGAAAGATTTTCCAACAGCAATGTTGATATAAAAGGATTTGACTTTAGACTCATACCATTTGGTTCAGGTCGCAGAGGGTGCCCTGGGATTCATTTGGGTCTCACCACTGCTAAGATTGTTCTGGCTCAATTGGTTCATTGCTTCAATTGGGAGCTTCCTTTGGGCATGTCCCATGATGAATTGGACATGACTGAGAAATTTGGTCTTACAATGCCAAGAAGTAAGCATTTGCTAGCTGTGCCAACTTATCGTCTAGCAGATGAAGTTGGAAAGGAATAAATTATGCAGATTAGCCTAATTGCTAGATATTGTTTACATAAAATTAAATCAGGAAAATATGTTCTTTTCTTTTGTTTTTTGAAATAAGATAACAATCGGTTCTCACTTTATATTTGTTTGCTGCAATTGGATGCACTGACTGCAATTGTGTTAATGCTATAGTACAAAACTGCATCATGAAAGTATACTTCTACTATTTTTCATCTATATTTTTTTGTTCGTTTGCCTGTTATATCACACCCCTTTTTCTCCTTTCTTACCAAAGTATACATTTAGTACATTTTTACTAATTAATTTTTCTACTTTATTTCTCATAGTTCTGTTTATTTCTTTTCTTTTTAACACAAAGTTTTACAATATTCCTGCACCAGTCTGTATACTCACTGGGTCAACCGACTGTGTCTCAAAGATTCATTGCATGGTTCAATAAAAAAACAGAAGACAATCTGAATGACCTGTCTGAAAGATGGACCACTTTGAACAACTCAAAAATAAGAAGACTATTTTGAACAAAACTAATAAATTAGAGTGTTCAGTTAAAAAAGATATCAATTATTAACCCAAGCAAAACAATAGCAAGTGGGGCTAAGTAATTTCTACGAGTTCTAAAATTGTGTAACTTTCAGTTTAACCGATTACCAATATGAAATGAGACAATTACTCGTTTCCCAATCATTTTAGTTACTAAACTTCATACTATTTGGTCTGCATGAACCTTCAAATTGGATTTTGTATGGTTTGTAAATTTTAATCTGTGAGATTTTGTGTCTATACATGCACGAAACATTCAGTATTCTAATATTCGAAATTGGAGCAGAAAACCAGCAGCGCAAAACAAATCATGGGAAAAAAAAACAGAATATACGAACTTGAAAGTAATTGCATAGAACAGAAATTCTGAGAAGTAATCTCTCCTGGCAAATGTTGAATGCAGAAAATGGAACGAAGCATGAGATTAAATTGACGTCACAAGATTTTTATTAAACACGTAGTTCATTAATTCTTATCATCAAAGATATGCAATTCTTAATTTATCCATCAGAGTCAGCACATTTGGTCAAATCTTTTGCTTCTGGGTGCATTCAGATTGATCTTATTGATAAAATATATATAAATTATACTGTTCTTGTCAAGGTTTGTGGTCTTTTCTAACCTTATAATGAGGTTAACTTTCTCTTAATCTGAAGCATTTTCTCTATAAAAACAATAAAGAAACTTTTAATTCTAAAACAGAAAAAACAGCCGAAAACATTCTTTTCATCTTCAAAGGACAGTCATTTTCTAGGGATATGTTTTGATATCTTCATCTTGAAAATGTTCTAACCAAATACAATACATGTACCAGGTCACTGCTAATTTTAGTTATCAATGCTTACTTTGGTTGTCAAATAGATTCGAATCAAATCCACTGAGGATTGTTCTTCGATCATCACAAAATACGTGATCTGATTTCATACGTCAAAAAATCTATAATCATCAAGAAAAACAAACATAATTATCTGAAGTAGAATCGTCCCAAATCACAAAGAGACACTGATCCTCTTCACTACTTCTTCAACAGTTACATTAACATATTATCAGTTCTTAAACTATACATACATACCAACAAATCAAACATATGCTTCGGTCAAAGTTTGAAAGATTGATTTATAATCTAGGAATCGGTAATAGACACTATCAATTGATTTTGAAGTGTACTTTTAATTTTTTGTTGGGTTTTTCAAAATCAGGTTAAAATAATAACTAATTTAATTTCTTATAAAGTTTCAAAATTTTGAATCACCCAACTTGAATCAATCCATGGAGGAAGAAGATATAAATACAGGTCACAACCGATTCCTTTTGCCATCTCCAAAGCTTCAGACACATCAACGATAAACCAAACAGCAACATGTTCCATCTAACACTACTCATTCTCCTAGCCACCCTAGTCTCATTAATCTACATCCTACGCACCACCGCGTCACGACGGAGACAGCCACCGCCTCCTCCGGGGCCGCCGCGGTTACCGATAATCGGAAACCTCCACATGATGGTAGGAGGAAGAGAAGCACTCCTACATCGTTCGCTCCAATCCCTATCCCAACGTTACGGTCCTATAATGTCGTTACAACTGGGAACCGTTCCGACCGTTGTGGTCTCGTCTCCGGAGGCCGCGGAACTGTTCCTCAAAACCCACGACGCTGTGTTCGCGAACAGGCCCAAGTTCGAAGCGGCCCAATACACGTACGGCCCAGAGAGCGTGGCGTTTGCAGAGTACGGCGCGTACTGGCGCGGCGTGAGGAAGGTGTGCACCACGCACCTGCTGAGCGCGTCGAAGGTGGAGCGGTTTGCGCCTTTGAGAAAGAGGGAGATTGGGGCGATGGTGGAGTGGTTGAGGGAAGCAGCGGCGGCGCGTGAGGTTGTGAACCTAAGTGAGCGAGTGGGGGAAGTTTTGATTGACATGGCATGTAAGATGGTGCTGGGAAGGAACAAGGATCATAGATTTGACTTGAAAGGGATTCTTTTGGAGACCATGAGTGTTTCAGGAGCTTTCAATTTGGCAGATTATTTGCCTTGGTTTCGACCCTTTGATCTTCAGGTTTGTATATAAGAAGTTGCTGATATAAAGACACCAACTTTACATTCGGATGATTAATTTTGTTTCTTGATTAACAGGGATTGACACAACGATCAAAGAAAATCAGTAAAGCGCTTGATGAAATGTTGGAGGAGATTATCGAAGAACACGAAGGGGTTCCTAAAGCAGAAGGGCACCTCAACGATTTCATTGACACACTACTTTCGTTGAAAGACCAACCAATGCATCGACATGTTGAAGATGCACCTGTGATCGATAAAAGAAGCATAAAGGGTATTGTGTTCGACATGGTAATTGGTGCATCAGAAACTTCGAGCAACGTGATTGAATGGGCCATTTCAGAACTGGTGCGACATCCAAGAGTGATGGAAAGTGTGCAAGACGAGCTGAAAGATGTGGTTGGAATGAAGAAGATGGTGGAGGAGATTGATTTGGCAAAACTAAGTTATCTGGATATGGTTGTGAAGGAGACCCTAAGGCTTCACCCTGCTGTGCCCTTACTAGCACCTCATGAATCAATGGAGGATATAGTGATAGAAGGCTATTACATCAAGAAGAAGTCACGAATAATAATAAATGCATGGGCCATAGGGAGAAACCCTACAGTGTGGTCGGAAAATGCTGATGTGTTTTACCCTGAAAGATTTGTCGACAGCAACATAGATTTTAAGGGACAAGACTTTGAACTTATACCGTTTGGGTCTGGTCGGAGAAGCTGCCCAGGAATGGTGATGGGTTTGAGCATAGTTAAATTGGTTATAGCACAGTTGGTGCACTGCTTCAACTGGGAGTTACCTGATGGCATTGCTAACCATGAATTAGATATGAACGAGAAATCAGGCTTATCAATGCCACGAGCAACACCTTTGCTTCTCATTCCAACTTATCGTCTACTTTATCAAACTTTTGTGAATTAATTTAAGAAAAATGAAAATTTTACATGCATTTATTTTATAGTATCATTTTTTATTTTTGCTTTCTTTTTTTAAATATAAAGTTCATTTTTTATAATATTTTATTTTTAATATATGCTCAATGAATATAAATATATATCATTTTACCGTTAGTCTTAGTTTAGACTTCAAACAGAGTGAAAGATCACATTTTCCTTTGGAACACATAAAACATAGCTTAGACTTCACACACAGTGAAAAATCACCTTTGGAACACATAAAACATGGCTTTTGTTGCAACCATTCACCACCTCCAAATAACTACAAACAACAAAACATAATATTTGAAAAATATAACCAATTAAAATCAAAGAAATAACATCCAAATAAAGACAACATGCACCTAGATTCTGAATGACCTGTCTGAAAGATGGACCACTTTGAACAACTCAAAAATAAGAAGACTATTTTGAACAAAACTAACAAATTAGAGTGGTCAGTTAAAAAAGATATCAATTATTAACCCAAGCAAAACAATAGCAAGTGGGGCTAAGTAATTTCTACGAGTTCTAAAATTGTGTAACTTTCAGTTTAACCGATTACCAATATGAAATGAGACAATTACTCGTTTCCCAATCATTTGAGTTACTAAACTTCATACTATTTGGTCTGCATGAACCTTCAAATTGGATTTTGTATGGTTTGTAAATTTTAATCTGTGAGATTTTGTGTCTATACATGCACGAAACATTCAGTATTCTAATATTCGAAATTGGAGCAGAAAACCAGCAGCGCAAAACAAATCATGGGAAAAAAAAACAGAATATACGAACTTGAAAGTAATTGCATAGAACAGAAATTCTGAGAAGTAATCTCTCCTGGCAAATGTTGAATGCAGAAAATGGAACGAAGCATGAGATTAAATTGACGTCACAAGATTTTTATTAAACACGTAGTTCATTAATTCTTATCATCAAAGATATGCAATTCTTAATTTATCCATCAGAGTCAGCACATTTGGTCAAATCTTCTGCTTCTGGGTGCATTCAGATTGATCTTATTGATAAAATATATATAAATTATACTGTTCTTGTCAAGGTTTGTGGTCTTTGCTAACCTTATAATGAGGTTAACTTTCTCTTAATCTGAAGCATTTTCTCTATAAAAACAATAAAGAAACTTTTAATTCTAAAACAGAAAAAACAGCCGAAAACATTCTTTTCATCTTCAAAGGACAGTCATTTTCTAGGGATATGTTTTGATATCTTCATCTTGAAAATGTTCTAACCAAATACAATACATGTACCAGGTCACTGCTAATTTTAGTTATCAATGCTTACTTTGGTTGTCAAATAGATTCGAATCAAATCCACTGAGGATTGTTCTTCGATCATCACAAAATACGTGATCTGATTTCATACGTCAAAAAATCTATAATCATCAAGAAAAACAAACATAATTATCTGAAGTAGAATCGTCCCAAATCACAAAGAGACACTGATCCTCTTCACTACTTCTTCAACAGTTACATTAACATATTATCAGTTCTTAAACTATACATACATACCAACAAATCAAACATATGCTTCGGTCAAAGTTTGAAAGATTGATTTATAATCTAGGAATCGGTAATAGACACTATCAATTGATTTTGAAGTGTACTTTTAATTTTTTGTTGGGTTTTTCAAAATCAGGTTAAAATAATAACTAATTTAATTTCTTATAAAGTTTCAAAATTTTGAATCACCCAACTTGAATCAATCCATGGAGGAAGAAGATATAAATACAGGTCACAACCGATTCCTTTTGCCATCTCCAAAGCTTCAGACACATCAACGATAAACCAAACAGCAACATGTTCCATCTAACACTACTCATTCTCCTAGCCACCCTAGTCTCATTAATCTACATCCTACGCACCACCGCGTCACGACGGAGACAGCCACCGCCTCCTCCGGGGCCGCCGCGGTTACCGATAATCGGAAACCTCCACATGATGGTAGGAGGAAGAGAAGCACTCCTACATCGTTCGCTCCAATCCCTATCCCAACGTTACGGTCCTATAATGTCGTTACAACTGGGAACCGTTCCGACCGTTGTGGTCTCGTCTCCGGAGGCCGCGGAACTGTTCCTCAAAACCCACGACGCTGTGTTCGCGAACAGGCCCAAGTTCGAAGCGGCCCAATACACGTACGGCCCAGAGAGCGTGGCGTTTGCAGAGTACGGCGCGTACTGGCGCGGCGTGAGGAAGGTGTGCACCACGCACCTGCTGAGCGCGTCGAAGGTGGAGCGGTTTGCGCCTTTGAGAAAGAGGGAGATTGGGGCGATGGTGGAGTGGTTGAGGGAAGCAGCGGCGGCGCGTGAGGTTGTGAACCTAAGTGAGCGAGTGGGGGAAGTTTTGATTGACATGGCATGTAAGATGGTGCTGGGAAGGAACAAGGATCATAGATTTGACTTGAAAGGGATTCTTTTGGAGACCATGAGTGTTTCAGGAGCTTTCAATTTGGCAGATTATTTGCCTTGGTTTCGACCCTTTGATCTTCAGGTTTGTATATAAGAAGTTGCTGATATAAAGACACCAACTTTACATTCGGATGATTAATTTTGTTTCTTGATTAACAGGGATTGACACAACGATCAAAGAAAATCAGTAAAGCGCTTGATGAAATGTTGGAGGAGATTATCGAAGAACACGAAGGGGTTCCTAAAGCAGAAGGGCACCTCAACGATTTCATTGACACACTACTTTCGTTGAAAGACCAACCAATGCATCGACATGTTGAAGATGCACCTGTGATCGATAAAAGAAGCATAAAGGGTATTGTGTTCGACATGGTAATTGGTGCATCAGAAACTTCGAGCAACGTGATTGAATGGGCCATTTCAGAACTGGTGCGACATCCAAGAGTGATGGAAAGTGTGCAAGACGAGCTGAAAGATGTGGTTGGAATGAAGAAGATGGTGGAGGAGATTGATTTGGCAAAACTAAGTTATCTGGATATGGTTGTGAAGGAGACCCTAAGGCTTCACCCTGCTGTGCCCTTACTAGCACCTCATGAATCAATGGAGGATATAGTGATAGAAGGCTATTACATCAAGAAGAAGTCACGAATAATAATAAATGCATGGGCCATAGGGAGAAACCCTACAGTGTGGTCGGAAAATGCTGATGTGTTTTACCCTGAAAGATTTGTTGACAGCAACATAGATTTTAAGGGACAAGACTTTGAACTTATACCGTTTGGGTCTGGTCGGAGAAGCTGCCCAGGAATGGTGATGGGTTTGAGCATAGTTAAATTGGTTATAGCACAGTTGGTGCACTGCTTCAACTGGGAGTTACCTGATGGCATTGCTAACCATGAATTAGATATGAACGAGAAATCAGGCTTATCAATGCCACGAGCAACACCTTTGCTTCTCATTCCAACTTATCGTCTACTTTATCAAACTTTTGTGAATTAATTTAAGAAAAATGAAAATTTTACATGCATTTATTTTATAGTATCATTTTTTATTTTTGCTTTCTTTTTTTAAATATAAAGTTCATTTTTTATAATATTTTATTTTTAATATATGCTCAATGAATATAAATATATATCATTTTACCGTTAGTCTTAGTTTTAGACTTCAAACAGAGTGAAAGATCACATTTTCCTTTGGAACACATAAAACATAGCTTAGACTTCACACACAGTGAAAAATCACCTTTGGAACACATAAAACATGGCTTTTGTTGCAACCATTCACCACCTCCAAATAACTACAAACAACAAAACATAATATTTGAAAAATATAACCAATTAAAATCAAAGAAATAACATCCAAATAAAGACAACATGCACCTAGATTTTATCCACATCTACATCCACTCGAAAGATACCGTATTATATATATAAATATAATTAATTTTGTCTTGCAAATAACTAAAAGTAGATATAATAATTGATATATGGTCAAATTAACAATATTATTTAGAATCAATAATAACAATTGAAAATTCAACATTCTAAGTTTTCACGTAATTTTCCTTTACCCCAACTACACCTTAATTAGTTTTATAGAACTTCTCTTACGACTCCTCTGTTTTGTAATTCTTAATCTACTCTGAAAATTACTTTTTTACTTAATTATCCTCCTTTATATTGCTTTATAATAATGTATGCAGAATTACACAATTCCCTTTTGTAAAAGATAAACGCAAAAAGTCATTTAAAAAAACATAATTAAATGTCTAACAAATAAATAATAACATTGACACGTTCACACAGAGACTTTAGAGTACTAGTCCTTAATGATACCAAATTTTGCTTAATCATTTTAGTGACAAAATTTGTTGGATTTTCTTCAATTCGATTCTTCCTAACTTCTACAATTTTTTTCAGATAATGTCTTTAATATATCACAATCTAATATTACTGTTTTCTTCTTTCAAATAAATGTTATTTTTACACCTCTTTGATTATCACGAAGTACATTGATAATTTTATTGAATAACTCTTATGTCAATCTTTGAGCTTATTCATTATATGCAGCCTTAACTTAAACTAATATATGTACCTAAACAGCTTGATAAGAGATAAACTAATTTATATTAATGGCTAGATTTATAAAGGGTAATGGAATTTCTTTGCATTTTGAAAAGGTGATCACAGACATATATCTATATATATAATGCAACTCTGTGGAGCTTTTCCAGTGGCTATATATATGCAAGATAATGCAGTGAACTTGGAAAAAGTTACATGGTTTCCAATCTCTTTATCTGATACATAAATATATTCTGTGTCTGTTATATCTGCTTCAAAATGTCCGAGGTTGAAGGTAAGATAGCACAACAACGAAACAGCAATGCTCCACCAACTGGGAAATGGACAACTGGTTTATACGATTGCTTTGACGACAAAGGAAATTGTAAGTTCTCTATTCACACCGTGTCTTTTTATTACTATGTCTTTTATATTAACATTCTCCCGTTTGTTTTCATCAAGGTTGTTTTACGTGGGTCTCTCCTCATGACGCCTTTGGTAGTAATGCGGAAATTATAGATCAAGGAAGAACATGTGAGTAAACTGAAATCTTTAAATGGTTCTACTTGGAAGTTACTTCATAGTCAAAAGAATATTTTACTTAGTTTCCTAATATGTGTTGAAAATATTAATCGCAGCTGCTATACGTGCACGTTTGATATTTTTTGGGCTTGGCCTTTTGGGATTGGGATGCTTATATTCATACAAATTCAGAATCAAGCTAAGATCTCTCTACAACTTACCTGAAGAACCATGCTCAGATTGTTGCGTTCACTCTTGTTGTTTACTTTGTGCTATCTGCCAAGAGCACAGAGAACTTAAAAACCGTGGAATTTACCCCTCAACAGGTATATATAATTACTCAATCAACAACATACGCACACAATATGCTTTTTATTATTTATAATATTTGTGGTCTAGCTTTAGGAAAAAAAATATGAAAATGGATAGATTTTGAATTAATTACAAATTGTCATGCATGCACCAAAATGGACTTTATAATATGTTAATAACTTTTGAATAATGATACCATGACACACTTTTACATTCATTTAACACAGATTATAAGAGTAAAATAGTTATAAAAATGTAAACGTTTGTATTATTTCAAGAAAGAAGAGAATAAAATGTAGATAAGAGTAATGTCAAATGAATGTAAAATATTTAAGTGTGTCAAAAAATCTTTAATCTAACTTTTTATAACAACTTTTTGATACGTGTCACTGTTTGGTGATATGTTTGAATTTATTTTTTAAAAAATATTTGATACTGAAAAGTTATTAAGTGAGTGATGTACAAAAGTTATTAAAAAAACATTTTCCTGTCAAAATATAATCGTGTACACAAACACCATTTTAACTTTCAGAAATTCATGACAATATCATGCGGGTAGCTCGCAATTTCAGGAACTTTGTGTACAAACAACTTAACCTATAACTCAAGGGGAAAAAAAAAACATTTTGAGAGAGATTTTTTTAAAACATTTAACACAGGTATAATTCGCAATTAATTCATTCTCATCATTTTTGCTTAAAAGTGTACTAGAAGTGTAAAAAAACCCACACATATGTGTTTTCTGGAGAAGGTCCTCTAATTAGTTGCATATGTATTTTTCTAGGTTGGAAGGCAAACGAGGAAAGAATGAAAAAAGCTAACCTGGAAGCTCCACGTGTTGCATCAGCCATGACTCGTTAGATATTGATCTCCTCAACTCTACCTTTCATGGACCTTACTTCTTTCTGCTTTTTTTCTTTCTCTCAATCATCTGTTTCTGCTTTTCCTTCAAAGTACTGTAGTTGGCTTTCTACTGTCTGAAGTGTTTCCTTCATTTTGTGTTGTGTTTATTGTTTCTTGTCTTGTGGGTAAAATTAAAAGAATGATATTATTAAACACTTATCTTTCGTGTAAAATTGTCTTGGCAATTCTTTTCTTCTTTTTCCATTTCTCAACGCAACAAATCAATGGTTTTACTCTTCAAAATTAGAAATAAATCCTAATTTTTTTATTTTGTAAAAAAAGTTTAATTTCTCAAATTCATTTTTAAAGGCTGGAAACAGTTTTGAAAAAATATTATAATCCTCAAATATTTTACGTATTACTAAAATAGCATTTTTAATTTTTTTAAGTTCACCTCAAACGTTAGGAATTCAAGATTTAACTATTAAGTCATAAAAGTTTGTCCTAAAATAAATAAACAGACAAATTAACAAATAACAAAAATTGAGCAGTGCGGGGGCCCAAAGCCCAGAGTACCGACTCGGCCCAACGATTACAAGGAAGAACCTGTCTCCTTCAAAACTGCACCTGTAGATGTAAAATTACTCGTGATAATGAAAAAAATTGATAACAATGGTACAAATTATGAACCCAGCTAAATCTCTGGTTATTGACAAAATAAAACATGAATAAAAGGTATTAAGCTAAGCTAATATTACTTAATTTAATTAACTTTGCAACACATTCAGATCCGTTTTTCTCATCCCACGTTACCGCGCATAAAAGTTTTTCGATTAGACGAATACAAAACCCGAAACCGAGACACCAAAAAGAAAAGAAGAAAGTACAGCACAATTTCTTCAACCAATTCAGACACTGCACCGCAAAATGGAGGCTCCTTTAGGTGGATCCGGATCCGAACCCGAGAGGGACAAATCCACCGCTTCTCCATCCTCTTCTCCGATCTCCGTCGTCTCCGCCTTCTGGAAAGTTATCATCGAAACTTCACTTCCACGTTTCTCTCTTTCCAGTTTGCCATTAATATTGATAGCTTTCTTCTTAGTGTGTGTTTCTCTGCGCGGCAATTGACTTGGTTATCTCTCATCTATGATGCGTTGCCGCATTGTTTCAATTACTATTGTTTCGGGACTTTGTTTTTCTTCTTTTCAGATTTTGAGTTGGAGAAGGAGAAAACTGTTAGCTATGTTTAGATTTTGTATACAATACAGACTATTCAGTGTTGTTTTTGTCATCCTCTGTCTTCTCTTTTCTCTGTCACCCGTATATGGTATCAGAGCATAGTATGTTTCTTAAACCAGTATGATAGCACTGCAACTGATTACTCATCCAAGGCAGAAAGTAAGGAAGGATCAAACGACTACGTAGGTTGAAACAATGTCACCATTTCTAAGGTGAGAGGATTTTTATTCCCTTGAATTGGTTTAATTACCTCATTAATACTATTCAAATTTAGTATTTCATCTCATTTATTTTTTGAATGCTAGGAAGAAGAAGCAGAAACGGTAGACCAGACAGAGCAATCAAAAGCAGGAAAAGGTCCTGTCAAGAGTAAGAATGCAAAGTCACCAAGCCCCATAGGTGTTCATGCAAGTTGAATTAAAAAGAAGAAAGATGGAAAAGGTGAAGAGGTAGCATCCTCTTATCAAGTTTTGTTACTCCTGTTGCATGTTATGTAAACTTCCCTGAAACTGCTTAGGAAGTTGGGGTTGGAGTATGTAGATCTGTATTTGATTCATTGACCAGTGAGGTTGAAACCTGAAGCCACAGGGCCAGCTGATATATTAAAGGAGAATGTGATCCCCTCCTTTGACAATGTCTTCAGTTCAATCAAACTATTTTTTCTTTCAATACAATTTTTAACATTACCATTGATTTTGTCCACCTACCTAATATTAAGTTTCAGAATTGTTGATATGA